CTTAGCTTATCTAAAGTAGTATGGAATAAATATCTAAGTTCTTTGCCCCTGTAGTTAACTCGTCTAAAAGTAGAGATATCTCGAGAGCCTCATTAAAGATGTGTGGGGGATGGCACGGACACCACACAAACCTAACCCAAATCTAACTCAAAGATCTTTATTTAACAATACAAACTCAATCTTTATCTGAGTTGTACAATAGATTAGAAAAAGTGTCCATCTCGCAATGCATCAACAATCCCAAACAATCGATCTAATCTATAAATTGAGCCTAATCTAACTCAGTCTGATACTAATCCACTTTAACACGACGTCTGCTTTGGCTACCCCTATATATCCTTATGCATCTATTTTACACCCCCTGTATACCCCTATATACCCCTGTAGATAGCTTGATAAACGTATAAATTAGATTTTTTTTTGCTGATTGTAATTATGTCCGCTTATCAATCAGCACCAACTACTGCTATAACTCAATCATTTTGGAGTTTTCTCTCTAGTTCCCAGGCTTTCTGGCTTGTCTTTCTCTTGCTCGTTATTACCCCGGTCGGAGCCATTCTGTTCTTCTTCTATTACAGTGACTATAGTGAGTATAAAAAAGCTGCGGAAAAAGCCCAGGCTGGTGATGTCTCCGGTGCTCAGGCACCCCTATACCAACCCCATTATGGCGTCTAATGCGCAGGAATAAATCGCTTTTAGCCTAACTATTATTAAACCAACTTTGGCCGATGACGCAATTTTTTATCTTTTCCTTTTATGGTAATTTTCCTTTTATGGTAATTTGTTAATACTAACCCAATACTAAATTTCTCTTATGACCAAATTTGTTGGGCGCAAGGGGCGACGAATGGAGTGAGTAGTATTTTGGTTGCTGACTACCTCGCTTTGTGCGTTGGACGTAAGAAATGCGCGATGTTTTTGAAATTACTACTTTTGCCGAAGTGTGATCTCAAAATCAGTCGATTTTTGCGAAGATTTTACCTACATAATCAATAAATTGAACCCAAACTAAACTCCTCTTAACCAGCCACGTTGTAATAACCCAATTCCAACCCAACCCAATACGAAGTCTCTAGGCGGCGTTCACATATTTCATAGTCGACTTGCCCCCACTTAACTCTATTCAGCCTAACTTAATATTCTTCTCTTATCAAATACAAATGTAATTCATGATTGAGTTGATGCTAAGTTAGTATTGGGATTTAACCTCTAATAAATTACATTATGGGATTAGTTGTGTTTCTGATCTACTACTAATTGAATTAGTGGTTGCTCATAACAGAAGAAAGTGAATAGTTGGCACTACTACACTAGCAATCGCAAGTATATGCTCTAGCTGTTAATCTAGACCTACGAATGAACAAAACATTTGAAGTTAAAGATACCAAACTGTTGTGCTCCAGGGGAGGTATAGGACCTCTCAGTCAAATATACTCAACGAGAGACAAATTGGGTTAGTTATTGTGTTGGTATACGAATCTGAGCCGTTTCTAGATCTGGTATAGTCTTCTGTAAGTTTTTCATGTCTGTCATAGAGAGTCCTGGAAAGTCTTGGAAATTCCTTTATTAATCTTCGTCGTATATCTATACTCTGAAACTAGTGATAACAAGATTGAGATTTCTTTTGGAATGTATTGGGTTGTTTAAAGTAGTACGGAATAAATACCTACATTATCTGTACTTATTCGCTTAAAAGTAGAGATATCTCGAGAGTCTCATCAAGATGTGTAGGGGATGGCACGGACACCACACAAACCAATGCTAGATATAAATGTTGATGCTTTGATGTCTTAAAATGGGTTTTCTCTCTATCTTTCCTCTATTTTTAATGAGACAACAAATTAGGCTAGAGCTATCTATCTGGTTAGTATTTGTGTTTGGGCCGTGGAGTAGGTTAGGCCTGTGTACTTGTGAGAATGAGCAGGATCAGTGTGCAAAGCTTAACTTTGATAACTTTGATTGTAGTAAAGGTCAATTATATATACCTTATCCTTGTGGAGCCGACGGACTGGTTTCTCAAATTAAGTTGGCCACAACAAACATTACCACAGAGACTCTCTGTTACGCCGCCGATCCTACATTGTACTCTTTTGTGCATTTCAGATCGCGGACCAACTTACCTTGCAGCTACGTTAGCCCTGAACAAGAAAACCCAAATCCAGCGCCAAGTAGAGGAGAGATAAGACCATTTGGCTCGATATATTGTACCACTGTGAATATTATGGCGCTGGTGGAGATCAAGTTTTGGCTGTTGTGGATCACTATTAACGGTTCGCCAACAAATACCAAGGCTCTCAAGTCACAGATTGCTAAGGCGGTTCAAGAAGTAAAGAGTGACGCAGAATCTAGGGATCTACCGCTCGCATTGGTCATTCAATGGTGCCCCCAGCCTGTCAAACCAGGGACCCAGTTCAACCGGAGTCAATACATTAAGAGATTCGGTGCACTCCTGGCTGATATCAAAATCAAGACGATCAACTCATTTGTTATTCTACTGGACCCTTTAATCTACAGTCTAGCTACTCAGACAGAATCGGACATCAGCCTAGCAAAGAAGACAAGTTGGTTTTATCACACCCTCTTACACAAACACAAATACATCTTTACGGCGGTATATGTGTATATCAAAAACAGTACAGTGGCACCGGGTGATATGAATGTGGATTTGGGTGTCTTTTTTGAGCTATTACATCGAAAAACAGAGAGCTTTGGCTTGAAAGTGTGCTGTCCCGAGCTAGCGGCGATCAACTTGACTCTGGATTACCTATCCAACCTAGAAGCCACCCATCTTAAATATCTATACATACTTGATCGACTAACTTTAGATTTCCCCAAAACCAAGATTGGCCGGATTGGGCTATACTCCTTACTAGTAGTTCGTGTGCTAGATATAGTTTCGCTAGATTGCCAATCTCTTTTTCTTCAGCTATTTCAGAACAGAAGGTTGGCCCTTTGTCTGAATAGCCTTACGCTCTTTATCAAAAAAACCGACCCCATTCTTTCCCAAAGCAAGTCCAAGTCCAAAGACTATATGCTTCGTTTAACTATGAATTCTAAAATGAACCTCACTGATTTCTATGTTGGTGTAGCTCTGCCCACTAACGGTTGCAAATCCACTCAAGATAAACAGATCAAGAAAGAACTACAACTAATTGGATCAGACAGCAGTCCCAACACAACAATCGCTATAACAGTCCTTTTCGCGCTAGGGTTACATTGGGTCCATCTAACCCAATCAATTAGACCTAACTTTTCTGCCGAAGAAGAGAAATATATCTTGGAAGTGTGGCTTAAACTAATAACAATAGAAGATAGGTCCCTATCAATAATCAAAACAACCAGATGTCAGTTATATTTTTATAGCTCACTGCTTATTAAATGGCCCGGGATAGAATTAATACCTAAGACAATCTACCCAGATCCGTTGAAAAATGAAATGCTTAGCTTTATCTCCACATTGATAACCGAGCTCTCTCTTCTGTTGAATAAGTATGCATCCCTTCAAACCCTAGACTGTTTAGTCAGTCTGTGTATGTCTAACTGCGACCTGGCGATCATCTTCTTAAACTATCTCCTCTTAAACAAACCAGACCCACTGAATGAGAAAATTATCCTGCCTGTCACAACGATCATGTCACTACTTGTTAAGCTGTCAACTACGCTAGGACCCCACCATAATCTAGCGACAATGAAACTCAACGGTATCAATTATGATAGGATAAGTGTGCTGGCTGATATTGTTATGAGCCAGAAGCTGTCAGATGACTCTACATGCCCAACACCTCGGCAGGTGCGAGACACAATGTCTCAATTAAGTTGTGTTATGTTGACTTAAGTTATTGTTTTATTGAAATGAAATATTGAATTGATATCTATATCTAATACCGACTTAATAAAAGCTATTCGTTGATTTTGACTTTGGTAAACTTAAACCCAACCCAATACTAACCCAATAACTCAATTTAATACTAACTCACTGAGCAGTGGGTGTTAGCTGGATGGGTTGAAGTCGCCAGCACAATCTCAAGCTATGACTTATTTTTTGCCCAAACTGACGTAGATCTATGCCCGAGGGACCAGAGGTTGACAGCATTGTTCGTATACTAAACAGCCAAGTATCCGGTGCAACAATAAGTAATCTTGAGGTGTTTAGCCATAAAATTGGCTTGAAAGATCGCACTGCCGATCTAATTGGGCGCAAAATTCAACAAGTGGAGCGCAAAGGAAAGTGGCTGGTGTTTGGATTGGACAGTGTAGTGCTTCTGGTGCATCTCCGCATGACAGGAAAGTTTCTCTTTGAACCGCACGAGAAACAGAAGCCACTCGTTGTCTTTCATTTCCAAGACGAGTCCAAGTTGTTTTATTGCGATCCAAGGGGCTTTGGCCGTATGCTCGTTCAGCCAATGAATGGGTTTAGAGAACTTAGTCCTTACAATGACATTGGACCGGACCCTCTGAAGGATGAGGTGACCGTAGAGTATCTATTGGGAAGAACCCAAAGAAGCTCCATGCCAATCAAAACATTCCTTTTAGACCAGAAGATTGTTTGTGCCATAGGGAACATCTATGCCTCAGAGATTCTTTTTGACTGCCAAGTGCACCCTCAAACCAAAGCCAACCAACTTGCTTATATTGATGTTCAAAAGCTTGTCGATAGCACTCGTGCTATTTTAAAGAAGGCAGCTGCCGCGGGCGGTACTTCTCTTGTTGACTTCGTCTTGCCCAATCGGGCCGACGGCGAGTATCAAAACTATCTCAAAGTGTATGCACGTAAGAACAAGCCATGCTTCCGCTGCAACACCCCTATCGAAGTCTTGAAGTTTGGCGGGCGAAGCAGTTTCTTTTGTCCGGTCTGCCAAGTTCGAGTGCAGTACGATAAAACAACAAAGAGTGATTTGGCCCAATAATAACTGCTGTGCCATCAGACGCGCGCTACTTTTCTTTGACGGCAAACAACTTGATCACTGGTTAAGTTACTCGCTGGCAGATATTAATGGATGCATGGCTTTGGTGTAGAAGGGTGAGCAGGGAACTATATCCAGCTTATTTTACTTATCTTATCTCAAAATTCGATAGGCACCAGTCGTTTACACGCGCCCAATTTGAACTAATAAACAACATCGAGTTGGTATTTGAGTTGGTATTGAGTTGGTATTGTGTTGGTATTGAGTTGGTATTGGTATTTGGGAGTCGAATGAATGCTATATATCCCGCGGGCACTATATTAGCACGATTAATTCAGGAGAATTAAAGGAATGCCAGGAGTTGAATAAAACCTCGTGCGAGTTTAGCGCCAGTATGACAGAACAAACTTCAAAGACTCAGAAGTATCTGTACGGCTGTATAGCCATCGGAATAGTATTGGTGGTGGGTAAGTTAGTGTTCTATCATTGGGATAGCACAATAAGCATTTCGAGCCAAAATAGCTCATTAACTAAAACCAACAGCACCTCACCCACACTTGCATCGTCCAATAATACGGCAACTAGTGCTAACTCGACCACCACTATTGCAGATAGCACTACCACGCCCACCACTCCAAAGACAACTCAAGATCCTACTAGCCCAATAAAGACAACTCAGGGGCCTATCAATGGCACGGGCCAAACCCCGCCCACTATTCCCATAACTAAATTAGATCCTGCTCGCAACCAAATATTAACCCAGGCAAAGAAGCTACAGCTTCTTTCCGGCCAGGCTATCCTGTCAAAGATGTACCAGCTGAACCAGAACCCTACTACTTCAAAGTGGATTCTTCTGCTGCCGCAGGAAACGCAAAACTTACATGGCTCGAATGACGATGCTACACCAGATCCGCTCTTAATTGTGTTCCCCTTCAGTTGGGAATGGAATGACTACAACAAGTGCAATGATGATATGAAAAACCTCGAAAGAATTGATTGTTTTGCTTCAGTGCACATTACTGGATTCGATATGAAGCATGGAGAGGTAGCTGCCAACCTTCTAGTCCTTCTATTACGGCTTATTAATGCTCCGAAGATCACCTTTGATTGGAATGAAAGCTCTGCAACAACTCGATCCATTCTAGACCAGAAGCTCAAGAATCTCTTTGAGACTGTTGAATCAATGCATAAGTCTAAGAAGATCATTGCTGTGTTTCAGAGTACAGTAACAGAACAATGGCAGCCGTTCATAAAGCAGCTGCAAGACCACTTTGATTATAACGAAGCCATTCCCTTGGCTAGCACCAACACACCATCAAGCAATTAAATGATTTAGTGGCACTCTTAAGTATCTTTATATCTACACGGTTTAATTGGTTTAAACTTAGACTGCAGCTTTTGAGGTATGCAATTTGGTTAGTATTGATTTGATTGCTCAGCCCAACTGTAGTGCTGTCATACGGCCATCCCCAATACTAACACAATACTAACACAATACTAACACAATACTAACATGATCAACCTTGCCACTGGTGAGCTACTCAGTATTTCGTAAACACTGCTACTAACCCAATAGAATCAGGGCTTTGTAACAAAAGGGATTTTGCATATCTACACTAACTTAATATGACGTCATTCTATGTCAACACAACCATATTTATCTAATAAAAGATGCCGGTGTTCGTATCAAGGAATGTCTTTAATGGAGTATGTATTGATCAGTGGATGTTATCCATCCCATGAGCATTACACCAACCCAACCTAACCCAACCTAACCCAATACTAACTCAATTCAATCTTAATAGTGTTAGTGCTAATGGCCTTTATTGAAGTTGGACCATCTAGTATGTATTGATCTAAACATATAGCCAGCATAAACTTTAACTCAATTGAAATATAAATACAATTCAAACATGATACAATAATCAAAATGAAGAGCTCGTGTTTATTTTAAAGTTGTAGAATTGATTTGAATTAGATTGAGTTAGGTTAGGTTAAGTTAAGTTGGATTAGATTGAGTTGAGTTGAGTTAAGTTAAGGGAGAGAGCTAGGTTAGATGAAGTTGCCTATTGGGTTAGTATATAATTGGAAGCCTAGAAGTATCTAGCCACATTATTTTTAGATCTTATCTCATTTTCAATATGCCTTTGCTTTCCTATTCCCACCCATATATGCTTCAAGGCGGCGTCCTTATTGGAATCAAGAGATGCCTTGTTGGTGTGTGTCTTATCTAATTAATCAATGAGTGCTATACGCCCCCTAATACACTTACTAAGCTAATAACGTTGACTTTATTGAAGGAAATGGAAAGAAACCCACTAAGATAGACCCACGTATAGTTTTCATAGACATAGGCCAAAACTAGTTGTCTTGCAGCCAAAGTTATAATAGAAGGACCATAAGAGTAAAAAGACCCGAAGAAAGGTAAAAAGACCCGAAGAAAGGGCGGGTTTAGTCAGCACAGATTCACGGGCAATGCAGCCTACTAGGCGCTTTGTGCTTCGGGGAAGGGCGGCACCTCTTTCCAGAAAAGACACCCGGGATTGGGCATGATCAATAGAGGGTCGGGGGCATCAGCAGGTGGGGTAAAACCTCGGACAAATATATAAGACAGGGACAAAGACATTGTAGGAATTGCCACCAAAACTGTGAGATGCCAAGTGTCTGCAGGAAAAGACTGGTCATCGAAGCTAAAGAACATAATCTGTCGTTGAGATAGGCTGCGAATAAATTGCTTGGCTATGTCTAAGGTGGTTGGTGGGTTTAATATATATAAGACCTTGAAGCGATAACGTACACGACACAAAACATCAATAAAAACTAGAATAAGATCAAGCACCATTTGATTTCTGAAATCATCCAACGAAACTATAAGCTGGGCAGTAAGGGATTGGGAAGGGATATGAGGGGCTTCTTTGATGGTCTTATAGATTGCCTCAACCTCATCAATCATCTTTTGGTCAATCTTAATAGAGCTAACTTCTACAGTGAATAGATTATGGCTTAAGATAGCATGACCAAAGAAGTATTTGGGAGGTTTGGCGGAAGTAGATGCGATATCCTTATCAAGACTAGCGCAGTAGTCCCGATTGCCCCAGGCCAGAAGACGAGTCGCCGTCAATATATTCAAAGTGCTCGTATCGGATGGGACAAATATACATGGCCTGTCCAAAGCTGTACTAAGCTCATCAACATAGTTTACCGCTTGATCATATGTCATCTCAGAATTCTTCAGAAGCAGACCAACGCCAGATATACACACACACTTGTGCCGAGGAATAGTCTTTATCTCGGCAAGGAAGAAGGATAAGTCCACTGGCATCACTTGATAGTCGAATCCAATACTAAGCTGATCGTTAGGCAATACTATATGAAGCAACTTAAAAGTAAACACCAATGAGCATTCTTTAATATGCAGGCTTGTAATTTTGTAGCAATCTGCTGGGGGGTTAGGTTGAAACTCCTCTATTTCAAAGCCATTAAAGTTGTAGCATTGGGTTACTGCTTCTAGGTTAGCGAGTGCTTCTAACGCCTCGGCCAACAGCAAGAAGTGATCCTCAGTTAGTGTTGCTGGCCCTTTATCGGACTTCCATTTAATTGGGTTGTAGGCCATATTAGTAATATCCCACCATGTCGTTTGGCGATTGGCCAGCGCTTTCAGATAGTCTAATGGAGTTGGGTTAAGGTTTTTGTTTTTACCATTGTTTCTGTTCTTATTCTTGTTCTTGTTCTTGGGTTTTGATCTCCCACACACATTCCCTTTCTTTCTGTTCTTACCCTTACCCTTACTCTTGTTCTTATTCTTGTTCTTACCTTTAGATCGGAAGTTGTTGCTATCAGCTGGCCCCGACTCACCAGAACCATCGGTATCAGTAGATAGCTGCTCTTCAGCTTTCTCGAACTGGCGTTGATACTTATATAGAGAGTGGAAGCAAACGTGTAGACAAACAAAATACCCTTTATAATCAGCAGGAGTAGAAGATTGTGAGGGGGCAGCCTTACTCTTAAATTGTTCTTCAAGACGCGGGATGAGATAAGAATTAGGACTCATAATATCGGCTAAAAAATGCGCAGGAACGTCTCGAGTGGTCTTGGTGCGAGCTTGAGTGGCTTTATTATATTCCACATTGACCATTGCTTTAATAAACTGATTCTCACCATACAGATGCTCAAAATCCAGATAGAATATAATTCTGAAAACCTGGGTATGCTTTATCACTTCCAGATCTAAAAAGAGCTGAACTGCCATGGGTGTAATGACCTGGAAGGTGGCCAGAGCAATCTCTTTGTTTTGTACTTTCCATGTATATTTGGATTCTTGGTGCTGATTGACAAAAGGGACTGCACATTTCCTTGCAGTGAAGCTAGTTGGCGCTATTTCTTTGACATGGAGAGACGTTGGAACCAAAAGGCCCATTAGCCTCGAAAAGAGAGACCAAGTTTCATCGGACACATCAACCGACAAATCCAAAATCTCCAGATTTGCCGTATATATAAGACTGAGGCGGCGAAGTAAACTCTTGACAATGAGGAAATTGACAGGATTATCCGCTAGTTTTTCCAACTCGCGGCAAGACAACTTAGCCCATATATTACACACGGTCAACCTATAAAGTTCTCGGCGGTCATAGATATCTCCCCCAGAATAAACATGAAATAACAACAATTCACTTGGTCCTGGTCTATTACCTTGGCCCGCGCTAAAAAGCACACGCATAAGTGCGGTTAATGACTCCTCGAAGTCATCAGCACTTGGCAGTACATACGAGCGAACTTTCTTGTTGGGGGTTTGAATCGGTCCGCCTACAACTAATTTGAACATTGCGACCGATAGGACCAGCACGAAAGCAAATAGCATACTGTGCTTTGAAATAGAGGCATTAGACCGACGGGGTAGTATTGTGCCCTGCAGCCTGTAACATTCAGCTAAGGCGGCCCTGCAGTTCGTGCAGTTGTTGGACAGCTCGATTTTATTTCGATCGCGAGGACCGGAGGAAGGGCGGCGGTCGTTTCTTGCTTGTTTTTGTTGCTCCTGCTTATCTTGCTTATCTTTCATTGTATATTTTTAACAGCCAGCCAAATCTTGCTTTTAGCGCAGCATTGGATTGGGTTAGGTTGGGTTGGGTTAGCTGGTTTTTGTAGTGCTATCATACGACCACACCTAATACTGCCACAATACTATTGCGATCAATTTGATCTCTACTTAGTACACACTACTTAGTAGTACTAATACTAAACCAATACCAATACCAATACCAATACTAACTCGAACCAATACGAACCCAACTCAATACAACTCAACAAAACACTTGTTCTGTGTGTAATAAAGCAATGGAATATTTCGTAGATCTAAACAGTCAGTCATGTATTTTATTAAGAATCGATTAATCTTTTTTATCTAAATTAGGCTATTCTTGGGTTAGAATTGCCATTATTTTGAAACTTTAGATATGAGAAAACAAGTTATGTTACGAGCAATAGTGGTACTAGTTGTTATTAGCTTGATTTTATGGGTTAAAGGCGGGGGTGAGGAAAAAGTGGCCTATACCCAGATTGATGCTATTAATAAGAGTTTAGTGGCATACACCGATGAGGATGTTTCTTACTCCCTTACGGTTGGGTATGCTAGTTTGAGATTAGGAAATGAAACAAAACCGATAGTGTTAATTTGGGTGCAGGTTTTGGTATTTCTATGGACCAAAATCTCGATGAGCGAGCTTATTAATGTTAGCATTGAGCGGGCATTGGAAGCTATCCCCAATAAGTCTTCTAAAACTATGGTGGTGATAGCTAATTGGGTTGAAAAAATAGATAATATTAACCCAGTCTGGGAGCTCTGCAACTCTTTATTGAAACAGGCCCGAGTATCCATTACTGGGTCGTTTATGCTGCTAGTTAACTCGCCATCGTTGCCAACAAGCGGGCACGAAGGAGAACTATTTTTCGGTCGATTATGGCCGGTCGATTTGACGAATAATGAGCCTTTTAGTGAACTCGCTGGAATATATTGGCTATGTCTTAATACAGTAAAAGGCTGGGGCACCCCCTATTACTATATGCTGTGTCCATTGGATTTTGTTTCCAAAGAGACCAAAGTCATCAGCCTGGTAGTTCATAATAGGGCCATAAGCACAATTGAGATAATGATGGATAGGTCATGTGCGTTGTGCATGCCTCGACCCTGTATTGTTGACCGGCTGGTATTGCATACACCGCATGCAGTGGTAAAGTTTATGCAGCACAAGTATTTATCGGCATCTATTGGCACCCTTGATATTTATACCAATAATTGGCAAATGTCATTATTGCCTATCTTAAACACGCATACAATAGTCATCAGTTTGAAAACCCTCCAAGTTCGGATTGGTGCACATGATCCGGATGGACTATATGGAGCGGAGTTGTTAATAAGAATAGAACTAACGGCCCATGCAATTATAAGGGCTGAGATAAAAGTAGTTGATCAAAGGAGCGCATCAATAGTCTCGCGAGGCACTGCCATGGCATTCGACATACTAACTACTGTACTCCGTTATATTGGGTTAGGCTGGGCCAAGGACGTTCCGAGACAAGTGGAATGCCAATTGGATGGAAAGAAGAAAATGCGCTCAGTTGACAATTTAATCTGTGCTAAGGTTGAATCGAATGAAAGTGCTTATAATAGATACTGGGTCTCTAGGAGAACCGCATCGACATGTTGGAGTGATTGTGGTGCCAGTGTATGCATGAAAAGAATCATAGCTGAACTATCACAGTCGTCTCCCGTTTTATTAGAAGAATTGAAGCAGCTATATGCACAGTACATCGCGCCGTTTAGAAGGCAGACGCAACAGCCTTGTTCGAATAATAGCAATAATACTAATCCAACTCCATCTAATAGTACAGCTTGTAGCACAAGTAAGGATGCGCATCTTTCTGAATCGGGTGAAAATCCATCGGCCTCGCCACAATCTCTAGAGCCAGAAGCAGAATGCACTAATATTCATGATCTGAAAACCTGTTATCACGACTACTTTGGAAGTATCAATGGGGTTACTTTTAATACACAGATGTTGGAGCTACAAGCGCGTGGGAGAACTTTGGCCATTTTCAGCAAACTAACGGATCTACTTGTGGCTCAACTCAATACTAACCCAAATAACACAGATGTATCGGCCATCTTCCAATGCGAAGAGTACTATTGGCTTACTTCTTATGTGTTTTATATGACGCATGCGCTTCAGGCAGTTGTTTCCCATTTTGAAGGTATTAAGACTACTCAGCGAGGAAAGGAATGGGACCATAAGATGCTCCAGCATCAACAAAAGCTTGTCAATGCATGTGTAGTAGAAGGTAGCTGGGAGAATTCAGACTATATGAATATCTTTGGCGAGAGAGAGGTAAGAGTTGATCCGCCGAGGGTAGAGAAGTGATAGGAATTGGTACGGAAGTTGATAAAGGAAACCATACGGAAAAGCAAGAAGATGTTGTGTTGAATTGAGTTAGTATTGAGTTGGTATTGAATTGAGTTGTGTTGTGTTAGTATTGAGTTGGGGCTGGGTAGCTACTAGTAAGCTTAAAAAGGTTAGTATTGATTAATTTGATAGGCGTAAATTAGAGTGTGTTTTTTGAGGTTTGAGATAACAAATTTGCATGATAAGCCACCATTCAATGTACTTAAGGCCTATGCGAATGTGGTACTATGTCGCACTAATTTGGATGTGTGTAATTAGGACCGTTCGTTTGGATAGTACTTCAGATGAGAGTAATTCTGAGATGTCGTTTTGGAGCGAGTGCAGACTAAACCAAGCAAACTCGACCAGGTCAAATGTAATAGATCAAATCGATGAGGGCGATCCGTCTTGGATGGGTTTAGCTTTAGAGGGACCAATGGCCAGGAAAAAGCAATTAGAAGAACCTAAGGCACCCGATAACTCCAATATGGATACAGAACACCTTCTTATGAACAACTCCATAAAGGATATAGGAGGCTTTCTTATGCGCTGTTGCTTAGTGGAGATGAACATAGTTAAAATGACTGGGCCTGCCACCATCGAGAAGCATTGGTGGAGAATAGCCTATGATGACCGGGAAATGTCGGTGGGGTGTCTGTCTGGCAAGTACATCCCAATACGCCGGGAATTAAGATTGGACCCAAGGGTACTTCAGCCACATTTGTGTGACATCACCCCCAAATACATGCAATATCATCGCATTACAGCATCAAACTGGACTACAAAAACTCAATATGAGGCACGTCTGAGGGGTTAGTAGTATTGAAATCAATTGGAAGTCAAAGTCCCATGTATCTTGAAGGACTAGATATGCAGTACAGCTATGCAGCTATCAAAATGTTGCTGTATCTGCTAAAAGCTCTAAAGGTTCCCACTCTAATCATCGAGTGGCTAGACAGTAGCAAAGATGATCATCCAATTGCGCCAGTCTACTTCCAGCATTTGTTCATGAACATACCAAGCGGCGTAAAGAATCGGCCGACTGTTTTTCTACTAACTACAGGCATGCGCCAGAAATGGAATCCACTCATTAGCATGATCAAGAAGTTCTATAACGTTTCAATAGTAGCCAAATAAGCGGTTGCGTTGGTATTGAGTTAGTATTGAGTTGGCATTATGTTTTTGCCATGCCTATGGGGAAAGATTCCTCTTAGTCAATACACATATCGCAATGCTACAATTGTAGGTTTTTAATAAAGCTACTTGGTGTTTGTTTCTAATAAAGCTATTTGGTGATAAGAAAAATCCATCTCTAATTACGTTTGCAATGCTAGTTTAACTTTCTACTGCAGAGGTCTTTATCCACGAACCAATCCCGTCCGTCGTCCGGTGCTTCTGCTGATTTTAACGGTGTGAAATTACCCCTAGATGGTCAGATCTGCTAAGAAAGCAAAAATAACAACCTTTATGCTCTTATGCATCGGCATAATCTCGGCGGTGGTAGCTTATTCGACCCCAACTGCTCTTTCTCATGCTTCTAAGGGCCAAACTGCTCTTGTGGTCGTCAATATAGTAGGAGGATTGGGAGACATTGGTTGGGCGGCCAACATAGGAAGGGAGCTGAAGAAGGCCACTGGGATACAGCCGACTTATCTATTCGTGGGAAGTATTGCGTGGGAGACCATCGAGCACCTGAACAAGAGAAGTGATCTAGGCGGTGCACCTGAGATTATTCATGATCTGAGTGAAGTGGAGCCGGGACAGATAGGAGTATATGTGTGCGAGACTGCAGGGCCTACGATGGAAGATCCAGACCCCAAGGAGATTGATGCCGTTGGCAGAAAATTCGACTGTATTGTTCTATTCTGTCTAGATTGGAAAGCCCTGTCTGCTCTGAATGGCCAGTCCACCAACGCTGAGAAGAAATTCATTCCGGTAGAGGAGTATGGGGGCTCGGTAGAGGAGAATTCCCATCAACGAATTCGGATTTTCTTCCAGGACTACAAAGAGAAGTACGGGTTAGCTGTCTCTGAGGAAGACTGTGTGCGTCTAAAGCTAAGTGCCGACGAGTTCTACAACAGGCTGGGAGAAAAGGCCAAAAAGCAGTTCAACTTAGAGTATGTGAAAGAATTGGAAAAGAAGATAGGTGTAGGTGTGCCGTACAATTTTGTCTATTACAACTTGTTTGCCAGACGAAACACTTTCGATAATCTAGTTATACTGCTCAAACGGTCCTTGGTCCGGATTGCTAAGCTACAGGGCCAGAATAATAAGAATTCTGACAAACCCATTACGTTTCTGGTGAACCAGCTTGATCTTGACAGAGAGGCCAAACTTGAAGAGGACCCGCAAAAGGCTCTAGCTCAAGCACATATAACGTTTGGGAGTGATGGGGTGCAGCAGCTCTACCTGGCAGAAATCAATAAAACAGTCCGTCTGGTGTCTTACGCCAATCTCTCGCCAGAAGCTTTCGAGTACTTCCTACTAAAAAGTGAACTAGTCGCAGGCTGTACAGGCGACATGTCTCTTACCCAGGTGCTGTCGTCCAAGCGAATCCCAGTGTACGAGGTTCTCCCACATAAGCAGTGTCTCTACACAGACGGGTTGAATGCCCCATGGATAGAGGCATTACAAGAGATCGACATCTCGGTGGAAAAGGATTTGGAAGCATTCCCAGGGCTCGAAGAGGATGCTACAAAGGTTTCCTTCTCGGGAATGAAAGTACTGACTCCAGAAAATGTAAGGCAGGCGTATCCTATCTTCCACTCAAAATTGCTGCAGAACGCCTTCTCGCCATGGTTCAAAAAGAGGGTGGAAGAGATTATGAAGACAAAAGAGCCCAAACAGCATCTGCTTGCGGAGCATTCAGACAAAAGCTTATCTGATTCGTATTCTAACCCAAAGCCAATGATAACTTCATCTGCATAACGAATGCACCTGTCACATAAGATATAAGCGGTTAATAAACCATGCATTCAAAAGCACCCATTGAGTTAGGTTGGGTTAGAAGGCTTTAATGGACATTTCAAGTTACGCTGAGCATGTAGAGATGGGAAATTCTTCATAAGTAAAGATAGCGTTGTGTTTTTTACAAATAAAAATATAGATAGACAAGATGGCATCAGATTGCTTAAAAACAACAAGTAAGATAATGGTTTTGAATTGGGTTGGGATTGTGTTAGTATTGTGTTAGGATTGTGTTAGTATTGTGTTGATTAAGATGCGAATTTTCTAATACTAACTCAAATAGATAAGGTATACACAATATTGTCGCAATACTACTGCAATACCATGGTAATACTAGGCACACACATATTAAGTTGAGGTGAAGTGATCTAAGCTAATGCCTCTGTTGAATATAGTAATGGGTTGAGTTGAGTTAGTGTTGTATGTTCCTAGCAGAACATACCTGGTCTGAAAAAGGCGGGAAGAAACTTTCCTTATTAGGCAATTTCCCTGTCTATAAATAGACCGGAAATTTCAATAAATACGAGAGTTTAAATGGCGGACCGCAGAAAACAACTGTTAGTTCAATGAGTATTGGGTAAGTATCAACTTGATTGTAAGCTGTATTGGTATGGATTTATGGGGGTGGATTATTGGGTTAGTGATGGTTGCTTTTGAAATTTAATAAAATGCAGAGATAAGAAAAAAGGATGTTAGGAATGGGTTTGAAGTTAGTATTAATGTGGTTATGTTGTGTTCTGGTGTGGTTTGGTTTGGTATTGGGTAATACTAACCCCGCTACTAACCCAGATGAAATGAAGTTAAAGCCAAGTAGCAAATTATGGTCTTGTTTAGCTCGAATATTGTTAGAAGATAGTCCATGCGTAGAAAGGGATGTTTTTGATTTATCTGGCCTAGATAACTTCAATAGCGAAATGTCACAACACCAAATACACATTATGAGGAAAAGAATGACTACATGTTTGGAATGGATGCGCATAATGGTTCAACCTTTGGTAGGAAACCGGTTGATAGAATCTCGCAATCCAGATGGCTCCATAGGCTGGATTCTTGAGATGAATTCAAAGAAGGATCGAAGGCAAATGCTAAAAGACATGCAGGTAATGAAACTACTAGACTATTTGCGTAAATTGACAGGAATACCAGGCGTACGTGAAGTCGTCGACATATATACCGGCCAGGCACTGAAAATAAGAATTAACGGTTTTCATATTCTCCCAACTCCCAAACTAACTCTCAACCCAACTAGTACTAAGCCAAATGAGGAATCAACAATCTACCAAAAGTGTCTAGAAGGCTTAAAGCCCCTGAAAAAGATCACCAGTCCGAATCAGATAAGAATTTTCGGACAATCAATCGATTATGAGATACTAACCCAACTTGAACTGTTATTGTTTCTACTGCGGATCGCGGATACTTCTATAATCAAATTAGACTGGATAGACATGAGTATGGCCTCGTTTGATGTGAAATCAATATATAGATTTAGACCTTTACTGGAGGACATCCCCGCGAAGCTGAAAAAGAATGAACTTGTTATTAAGATCATTAGTGCATGTAATAATGTGTTTTGGAACGCCTTCCTTGATTTGCTCGGCGAAAAATACGATATTAAAACGAAACTGGTGGAAGCTTATCCACTAGTGTCGCCTAATGCCAACCCAACTTAATAAAAGTCTAGTTAGTATTATGATGGTTTGGTTTGTGTTGGTATTGTGTTGAGTTGAGTTGAGTTAGTGACTATTGTCTTTGAAATTTAAGAGAATTTAGAGATAAGAAATAGGGGTTGGTATTGGTATTGGGATTGGTATTGGGTTATGTGTGCAATGTTAATGTGGGTTTGGTTGGGTTTAGTTAAGTTGGGTTGGGTTGGTTTTAGTTAGGCTTAATAAACTGGGTTGGGTTTGAGTTTGAAAAGATCAAAATGATCAAGGAATAGTGAGATAGCAAATTAAAAAGCTAGAAGAGATAGAAAATTCGCATGTTCAAGTTCTTACAAGCAATGCGTGTTAGGAGATCTTATCTTTGGGTTAGTGCTCTGTTATTTGAGATGCTAGGGTCGGGATGGCTGGATATGAAAGTGGCCTGTAGTGGTGCAGAGCATCCAAGGCATCTAAAGCGGCCGAGCTCTTCTCTCCCTAGCCTAATACCAGGCCAAACGAGTAGACGCATGAAAGTAGACCGAACCAATTCCGTAATTCAAGTAGAAGCGAACAATCCATTCACTCCATCCAGCGCAGTATCATCTCCATCCGCTTCATACGCCCTACCAACTCAAACACCATCTAGCACAATAACACCCATGACATCCATCCCAACCGCTTTATCCACAGAATTCATCTTAGAACAAGCTCCAAAACTTCAAATGCCATCTTCACTCGTATTAGCAATCTGGCGACTACGGAGCTTAAAGATAATTGATGTTGATTGTTGTATGACATGAATGTCACAAATTGGTTTACACCAAGGTGACATAAATTGAGATCAAAATACTTATTTACCTTAGATGGTAAATCAAGTCTTATTTATCCTTTCTGAGAATCTGAAGGTATAAA